CTGTGGACATGTGCTTACTACACACACACCTTGGGGACTTCCAGCTTCCTGCACCTGAATACATTTTAGGATAATGATCTTGCCACCCACCCCTCCCTCTCTGGGGGGAGTGGTGCTATGGCCTCTTGGTGACGCCTCTGTTGAGTGCCCCTTGGGAAGGTGTACCCAAACTGGTGTGCTTTTAGATCTGGCCTAGCGGTCATCAAGATAGGTCCTATAACCAGAGTTTCTGGGTCAGAATCTCAGCTCTGCCACTTCTGTGTCCTGGGGCACTCAAGTTCCTCGGTTTCCTCACCTGTAAAAGGGTGATAATGCAGCCAACTTGAGTTGTCATCATTGCTTTTACTGTATACTTAGTAACTGTTCCCAGTTTTGCCTTACAGGGTTGCAAAGAAGAAATCGGAGCCCTAGAGGGATGGTGCTAGCCTCCACTCCCAGTGGCCACAAGCCCCAGTTGCAGCGGTGAATCCTGACTGGTCCATGATGGTCTCCTCCCTGTGCATGTGATTGGTGCAGGCCTGCTCACGTGATCCAGCCTGATCAGTGAGATGAGGAAGTCTGTGTAGGAGTGGGGTGTGTTCCTGGAAAGGTTTTCTCACAGGCACCTCGAAACAACAGCCCTTTCCCTCCACTAGGTTTTCTCCCAACTGCCCATAAGGCTTGCAGTTGCTTCCGCCATTCCACAGGTAGCCACACCGTCATGCCAATGACGGCCAAACATAAAGACAGGAAGACCTGGGTCCTTGATGACATCAACAAGCCTTTAAGTTACCAACCCTAGAGCAGCCCAACTTATAACCTGTCATGCAAAGTTCAAACTTATTGTTTAGGCCAGCTAAGTAATGGCTCAGGGAGGACTTCCTGGAGGTGGTGGGGCTAAAAGGAATCTAAAAGAATGAGAAGGTGGACAAAGGGGATAGGGCAAAGAGTAACATTCCAGGAAGACAGAACAAAGGCATGAGGCGAGAGACACCAGAGGGTGTGTGGGTCCGTGTGCTGGAAGCTGAGATATGACGCTGGAGAGAGGGGTGGGTTCGGCTGCAGTGGGTCTTCAGCCAGGATACAGAGCCTCAGTCATCACAAGGGGTGAGGGCAAGCTCTGTGGACAGCCTTGATTTTGCTCACCCAGGGTCTTGCCATCTAGCTTTGTGCCTAGAATAAGTGCACTCAGCTGGCCTCTGTCCCCTATTCTGGTCATACCTGAATGCTGCCCTGAGTTAGGGCCAAGAGCTGGGGCAGGGGCACCGGGCCTGACTTCTCCAGGTGTGATTCTGCCTGCCATGCTTCTCCCAACCCCCAGGGCACTCATAAGAGACTCTGGCTGAAATCTGGGTCACTCCATGAATGAGTGGGACATCCATCAAACAGGCAGTTACTAAGTGCCTACAAAGCAGTGTGCTAAGTACAGCGAAGAGAGGATCTGGTTCAAATCCCAATTCTGTTTCTTTCCAGTGGGGTGACCTTGAGCAAGGCACTTTACTCCTCCAAATTCAGTATCTTTACCTGTTTGTGTTAGATGGTAAAATCAATGATGGCTCTATTATATCTGGTACTGGGGGGAGAGAAATAAAAAGATGCACAAAAAGCTTCCTGGCATAAAGCTCATCATCTAGGTAGATGAATAAGACGAGCAAACACTGTGCTGTTATGGACAAAAGTTGAGAAGTGATGAAAGGTTAAGTGGAGGGAGCATGTGAGCTAGGCCATCAGAAGTAGAAAATCTAGATGGGAGGTGATGAGGGATAAACATTCCTGTTGGAAGACAAGGCCACACAGGCGGGGCAGAAGAGATACAGAAAGATTGTGGGTGCCACTCCGTGCTCCTAAAGCCTTCAGAACGGTATGATGCAAACAGCAGGGCTGGACATAACTGTTGCATATGGGCATCATTTGTGACCTGAAACAGCAAACCTCTGAGCTTAAGCCAGAAAGATGCAAATTCAAGTCCTGGCTCTACCACTTACTGTGTGACCTTGAGCAAGTCACTTAATCTTAGAGCCTCAGAGTACTTTGCAAAACAGGTGTAAAACCTCATTTACAGAGTTGTACCAGGGTATATGCAGAGTCTGGAACCAGGATCCCCTTTCCCACCTAGCTCATCCCTATTTTAAAACCCTACCATCCAGTGCCACCTCCTGCAAGAAGTTTACTTGCCCCCCTCAGGCAGTCCCACTGGACCCTCCCACCCCACTAGACCCTGCCTCCCCTGACTCCACCTACTGTATTGTGATCACCTCTGTCCTCTCCCACCAGGCTCGAAGAGGGAGGGGCAAGGGACCTCAGCATCTCTTGGACCCAGCTGCACCCCCCCCCAGAGTGGGTATCTACCAATGCCTATTTCTCCTCAAGCCTCCAACGGGTAGACCCCAGAGGGAGGCAGTGACTAAGTCTGCTGGGGGTGGAGGAAGGGGGTTTCAGAATGATATCGCTAGATCTTGAGGAATGAACAGGAATTTACTGGGGAAGGGGTTCCAGGCAGAGATGGAAGTACTAAACCACAGAGGTGTGAGGGAAGGGATAAAGTAAACTGTGAGTCACCAGAGTGTTTGCCAGAGAGTGGCTAAAGAGGAGGGTTCTGAATTCGGATCAGGAAAGGCCTCAAAAGCCATGGCAAGGAGTCTACCTTATATGGGAGTCATCGAAAACTTGTCAACAGGCAGCACAGAGACCCCAGGGGGGAGGCTGCTGTATTCGTTTGGGCTGAACATAGGTGGAGGGTGGGGTGGGGAAAATGACAGGTCTATGGGCCAGCACTTGGGGGCAGATACTGATGAAAAAAATCAAAGAGGACCAAAAATTCTACCTGGATAAACAATTATTGAGAATAGCTTAAGCAATATATCCTCATTCCACTACACCTGATACTTGCTAAAAAGCCTATTTCCACGATCGCTTCATGCTACACACAGAGCAGCTCTCTGAAAACTAGCGGGCCAAATGGTGCTGTCTTCGTTACAGACAAAGTGAGAACCAGAGAAGGAATAGGACTCTGCCATGGTCACGCAGGCAATGAGGGTGCTAGTCACAACCTGAAGCCAGTGTCCTGGCCGGGTGCACCAGGAGGCAGCTTTCAACCATTTGACAAATGAACTTAGCACCTTTTAAAGAGAGACCCTGGAGACACAAAGATGACCTTTGACCTCTGAGTCATCTTGAGACCTGGGCATTAGACCAGCTGCCCCCTGCAGGAGAGGGAGAAGTAGGACCCACTGAGGGGTAGGTTTTCCATGGTTAGACAGGTCAGCAGAGGCTCACCTCCAGGACAAGCCTATCTATGAGTCCTCCAAACTGGACCCTGGGGTGGGGTTGGAAGAGACCCAGTCCCTCCACAAAGGGAAAGGGGTGGGGAATGGCTCTTTTCGGTCTTTCTAAGAAGCCCTCCAATGCCCCCTCCTCCTGGCACCCAGGAGAACAGCCGCAGCCTGAGTCATCATCCCAGTTTGAATGGTAGCCGAGAAATCAGCCAAGGGGCTGCCTGGGGCTGAGGGCTAAGGGTTGGAAAAACAAGGCCACTTTCCCTTGCTGTAGCCTTGGAACTCAAGACAGGGTTAGGGGGTGGGGGACAGAGGGCAGGTAGATGCAGGATGGTGGGTGTCAATGGCCAGAGGGGGCTGAGTGGGGGTGGGTGGTAGTGGAGGGAAGGGAGATTCAGAATCTAAGCTGTGGACTTTTGTTTTCAAATGACCTGTTTAATAATTACCTTTGCAATCAAAGGAGCCAGGGCCCAGCAAAGACAAGGGTTTCCACCCTCCATACCCCATCGAGCAGCTGAGCAGCCGGAGAAGAAAGTAAACAAGATGCCACTGGCAGATCTCTTTCCATCTCGAAAACAATGGCGGGACTGAGCTCCCCGCTCAGACACACACATTAAAGTGAGATTTCCAGGCAAGAACTTTACCAGGGAGATAAGAAGCTCGGATTGAATTATTTCCCTGCATCCTGGGAGCTCCCCTGAGCTCAGTGCCCAAGGGGGCAGTTTAGGGGTACGTCATTTTCACGTTAACCTTGACCTGTAATCTATTCATTCATTTTGCAGGGAGGGAAAACAACCTCCACCTCGGCCTCTGAACAACCCAACCAGCAACAACTTCATCCCTTTGAACAGTCACAATGGTGGGCAAACAAGGGATTTAAGTTACAGAGGCTAGCTGGAACTCACACTCCACTGGGCTCAGGCTCCTTAAGAAAACAAAAAACAAACAAAAAAACCCCCCAAAACACCCTAATCCAAGCACCCACCGGGCTCACAAAGTCAGACCTGACCTGGCACTGGGAAAATCCAACTTGTTTTTTTTCAACCTCCCAAGGCCTTCAACTATTTTTCCCCCTGCAGCATCCAAGCCCAGCCTCAAGGCAGAGCCATAAACACGCCTGCTCCTCCCCCTTCCACGGTTCGGCAAAACACCCCCCTCCCACCTTTCCGGACCCCAAGGATTAAGAACCACCACGACCGTCACCCGCAGCCCCTCTCCTGCCCTCCCCCAGCCCCCCTACACCGCCAGCAACCCTTGCAGCACCTTGAGATAAAACACCCACTAATGATTTTATGATTTCTGCTCTGGGTAGCCGCGCTCAGCAGAATCCCTCCCAGCCGCCCTGGCGACGGGGGCCGGCCCAACCGAGGGTTGGGGGATGGGGGGGTGGTAGTTTGTTTTTTCCACCGCCGCGTCCCCACACCTGTTTTTCATTCATTCATTCGTTCGTTCATTCATTCACCGATTCGTCACTGCAGCCTACCCAGCCCTCCGAATCTCAGGGAGGGGCTGGGAGGGAGGGGGCTGAGATGGAGGAGACAGCGGCGGGGGTGCATCTGGGGGGGTCGGGGTGGAAGGACCCCGTCCGAGGGCAGATCGGGTGGCTTTGTCCAAAGCAAGGCGCGCAGCGGGGCGGGGGCGCTCCCCGGGGCTCGAAGTTGTTTTCCGAGCGGCGGCGGCGAGGACAGCCGCCCGGGTGCGCCTCTTTGTCTCTCTCCGGCCGGCGCCGCGTCCCCGCGCGCTCACCTGGTCTTGGAGGACAGGAAGGCAAGTTTGATCAGGCCGTAGGTGAAGAGCGGGATACTCTCCTTGGCGACGCTGGCAACTTGCAGCCGGTGCTCCAGGATGTGGAGTTCCATCGTCCGCCCGCGCTCCGTGGCGGCTCATCCGCGGGGGGCGAGCCGCGGCCCCCGCCCCCTGGGCACCCAGCCGGCACCGAGCGCCGCGGGCAGCCGGCCCGGGGGCCAGGAGCTCGGCGGCGGGCGGGCCGGAGCGGACAAAGGAGAGGCCCGCCAAGCCGCGAGGGGCCGCGGGCGGCGGGCTCCGGGCGGCGGGCGAGGGCGGCAGCGCTGGCGGAGCGGCGGTGCACGGCGCCCGGCGCGGAGAGCAGCTGGTGTTCGCTGTAACAAACAACTTGCCACTCAAACGCCGGCCCGCTGGGCATGCGCGGCCGCGGCGGGGCGTGCCGGGACTTGTAGTCGCGCTCTGCCCGGCGCTGCCCGCTGCTGATGTCAGGGGCTGGGCGGCCGCGCGAGGGGTCGGCCTGGTGCCCGGGAAAGGCACGCGCGCCGTACCCCGCGGGACCCCTGCAGAGGAGCGGGCAGAAATGGGGCTTCCGAGCCAGCCTGAGGCTAGGTGCAAGCTCTGTCCCCCAGCGCTCGGAACTGGGCGCTGCGAGGTCTGAGCGAGTAGCCAGCGCAGCTCCAGCGCTGGAGGAGGCCCGAGTCTGGGAGGGGAGAGATTTGGAGAAACCGGTAATTACAGTGCAGAGAAGCAAAACAGAGCCGGGTGCTGGGGCCACAGATGGGGCCGAGGGGCTTGAGGGGGTTTCTTGGAGGAGGGGACATCCAGGCTGGGTTCTGAAGGATGAATGGAAGCTCGCCGAGGAGGGGGGCGGGGGCGCGCGGGGATGGAGGCCAGGGGCCTTCCAGGCAGAAGGAACAGCGTGTCCAAAGGCACGGAAGCGTGAAAGCCTCCATGGTGCTGTGTTTGGCTTTGTTGGAGCGGAAAATGTGAGGGAGGAGAGGCAGAGATAAGGCAGGCGCAGTCACCAGGAGTGCGGTCGAGAGGGGTTATGTGTGCAGAGCTAATGAGGGGGCCATTTCTCCCGCGGGAGAGGGGGTGATGGGGACTTCGAAGGCCGAATTGGGGAAAGGTCTGACATACATTCGAATGGCTTCCAACCCAGGGCCAACGTGCCAGTGACCCTAACCCTCAATGGCTGACCTGTTTTGAAATTTTCTGGGTTAAAGTTACTGGTGCTTTGCCATTTGGCAGAATAATTTGGGACTGTGATGGGCAGGATAGGAACTCTCTTTTTTGAGAGAAGTTCTGGTTGTACTCCTTCACACTCTCGCAGCCCTTCTGTTAGGTGGAAACATATCAGGCTCCCTGATTTCCACAACAGAGTGTGAAGCCTGCATGCTGATCTTAGAGCATCCTGATCCCCTTCCTGTTTTGTTGTCATTAGAGAATTTATTACCCTCTAATAAAGAATATATTTACTTTTTGTTTAGTTTTCTGTCTCCCTCTTCTAGACTCTCAACTCCAGTAAGGCAGTGATTTTTGTCTGTTGCCTGCAGTATTCCCAATGCCTGCTATGTGACTGGCATGTGCGAGACACACATTCAATATTTATGGAATGCATAAATGCATACATCTATTTCTTTAGAATCTAGATCGAGAAGGCCCCAAAAGAAATGTGCTCATGGGCCAGGCAAGTAACATAAATGTGTGAAGCAGTTGGGTATCATAGAGTCAGAAATGGTACAAGAGAAGGGAGGCCTGGCTGAAGGCATACGTTCAATTTTTAAATAAACAACCAACAGGTGAAACCAAACAAGCCTAGAGGCAGGAATCAGCCAGTTTTCCGACTTCTGTTCTGGATGGCCAAGTCAGTATTTTTCAATCTGTAGGCCATGGCCCATGAGTGCATGGTGAAATTAGCTTAGCAGGGCATGACTAGCATTAAAAAAAAATCAAATAGAGAATGGTACCGAGCTTTGCACATAGTAAGGGTAAGTTACTATTATCTTTTCTATGTTTCAAGAAACTTTTATTTGACTGTGTGTGTACATGTGTGCATGTATGCATATGTGAGTGTGTGTGTCTGTATGCATGTACGTACTGGATCTTTATGTAAAGGTATTTCTTACTGTGGGTCTTGGTAAAAAGCATTTGAAAATACTGTGGGCTTTCTGTTTAATCAAGCCAGACCATCATAAAGTTTACAGATTGAGACATTTTGATTGTACTTGGACAATTGCTTTTGTATTTGAAGTTGTATTTGGTGCTTAAGATTTTTTAAAAATTGACTACTGAAATTAATGTTGGGAAGTTAAAGAAACTGGTCTCTGGGTTGCCAAATCCAAAGGATGGTTTCAGGCTGGGACTAGGGTGAGACATTCACTCTCAAGGTCATGCAAGAGCTGGCTTGGCACTTTTCCAGTGGAATTCACCCCCCTCTTGATTCCTTAACACTGCACTCTTCTCGTTCTTCTTTGGTTCTTCTGGGTTTCCATCTTTGGTTTCTTCTCTGACAACTCTAAAATGAGTGGAGGCCCTCCTAGTGTTCCTTTCTGTAGTATATTTTTGCTAGTAATAGCTGCTAGTGAATCATGCCTCCTGGTAAGGCAACCTACAATGACTTTGACTTTGGTCATGTGATATTCTTTAGCCAATGAGGTATTAGCAGATGTGCTTGCTAAGTTCTGTGAATTGGGACTGCCCACTTAGAATGCTGCCCTGAGACCATCATGCTGTAAAGAAGCCCAGATGAAAGACCACATGGAGAGAGAGGTCCAAGTGTTCCAGTTGTTCCAGTTGAGTCAACCCCCTGCTGACAGATGACACCCACTACCAGACACATGAGTGACCCCATCTTGGACCCTCCAGCTCAGTGTTTAGCTGCAGGCAGCCACATGAGTGAGCCAGGTAAAACCAGAAGAAGAACTACCCAACCAGTCTATAGAAATGTGAAAAATAATAAATCATTATTTTTAGCCAGTAAGATTAAAAGTGGTTTATTATACAGCAATAGACAGCTGATAAAGTCCCTCCACCCTCATCTTCTCTCACTCAATGAGTGTATCCAGTCTCTGGCTTCTAATATGTTGATGGCCCCCAAATGGACAGTTCCAGCGAGAACAAATCCCTGTAGCTCTGATTCCCATATTTAGCTTCCTAGTGGTTGGCTATATCCACCTCTATGTTCACAGGCTAACGCAACCTGTTTAAGTCTTACCTCATCATCCAGCCCACCTCAGACCATCAACTCTTCCTCCTGTAATCTCTCTCAGTTAGCGACACCATCCCCAATTCCTCAAATTACCAACCTAGTATGGCACACTGTATTTTCCAAGATGGCTGCAACAAGATCTATTCTACATGCTCTTCTTGCCACATGGCATTGATAACCATTTCATTAGGAAGTGGGCCCTGGCCAGTTTGGCTCAGCGGTTAGAGCGTCGGCCTGCGGTCCGGAGAGACCCGGGTTCGGTTCCAGCTAAGGGCACGTACTTCGGTTGCAGTTTGTCCCCGGCCCTGGTTGGTCGTGCGGGTGGCAGCCACTCGATGTGTCCCTTTCATGTCGATAATTCATTCTCTCTCTCTCTCTCTCTCTCTCTCTCTCTCTCTCCCTCCCACTCTAGCTGAACAAAAATGGAAAAATGTCCTTGGGTGAGGATAAAAAAAAAAAAAAAAAAAAAAAAAAAAAAAAAAAAAGCCCTGGCCGGTTTGGCTCAGCGGTTAGAGCTTCCGCCTGCGGTCCGGAGGAAGTGGGTCTATGTTCGTTCCCTCCCCTTGAATCTGAAAAGGCCTGTGACTACAGAAGAAATGACCCCACCTGACTTCAGAAGCTTGGTCGTAATAGGTGACCAAGCTTCTGCCTGCTCGTCTTAGGACACTCATCTTGGAACCCATCTGCCATACTGTGAGGAGGCATGAGCCACAAGGAATGACCACAGGTAAGCATTTGCATTGGTTTGCTAGAGCTGCGTAACAGTACCACAGATGGGGAGACTTAAACAACAGTAATTTATTTTCTCACAATTCCGGAGGCTAGAAGTTCAAGATCAAGGTGTTGGCCTTGATCAAGGGTTAGTTCCTTCCGAGGTCTCTTGGCTTGTAGGTGGCCACTTTCTCCCTGTGCCCTCACAAGGTCTTTCTTCTATGCATATCTGTGTCCTAATCTCTTCTTACAAGGACACCAGTCCTGTTGGATGAGGGCCCATCCTAATGACCTCATTTTAACTTAATTACCTCTTTAAAGACCATATATATCCAAATACAGTCACATTCTTAGGTACTGGGGGTTAAGGCTTTAGTATATGAATTTGGGGGTGGGGTGGGCACAGTTTGGCCTACTGCAGTATTCCAGCCAACAGCCCAGCTGAGGTTCTAGCTGACAGCCAGCATCACCACCAGGCATGTGGTGAGAAAGCCTCTGTTTGTCAGAAACCCATGAGAGGCCCTTACTCGGCCTCTAGAACCATGAAAGATAATAATAAAATATTTATTGTTTTAAGCCACTACATTTTGGGATGGGTTGGTAAGCAGCAATAGATAACTGGGACACCCTGGGGTCAACTTGGTGGTGGCGGGGGACAGGGGAATTTGATCAAGGAATTACCCTAGATTGCTACCTTTTGCTTCCTGCTTGCCCCCTGCCCCAATATCTAACCCGTTACCAAGTATTAGTGATTTTATATATTGTACACCTCTGTATCCAGTTTCTCTCTCCATCTGGACCATCAGGATCTCTTATCAGGACATAACTTTCTTGTTCTAGATGGTTACATTGGCCTCCTAATGCCCATTCCATTCTCAGGTTGCCACAGTAGCTCTTCAGTGATCTGGCCCTATTTCTATAACTCCTCTGGTTAATGCTCTCTAGGGACCGGGAAGAAACTACCGCCCTCTTAAGAAAACCAAGCCCAGCCCTGGCCGGTTTGGCTCAGCGGTTAGAGCGTCCACCTGCGGTCCGGAGAGACCAGGGTTTGGTTCCCGCTAAGGGCACGTACTTTGGTTGCAGTTTGTCCCCAGCCCTGGTTGGTTGTGCGGGTGGCAGCCACTCGATGTGTCCCTTCACGTCGATGTTTCTCTCTCTCTCTCCCTTCCTCTCTCTCCCTCCCACTCTAATCTGTACAAAAAATGGAAAAATATCCTCGGGTGAGGATAAAAAAAAAAAAAAGAAAACCAAGCCCAGATCCTTCATGGCTGGTCATATGTAAAGGGGAATGGACTTCCTGACTCCTAGACCCATGCTCTCCAATGGAGTAGTCATTAGCC